CAACGTGGATGTAGTTTTGCCAAGTAAACATCTTTGAGCACAGAGAGAGCGACAGCTAATGACCCTGCTCAATCAGAAGAGCTGCCGCTCGGCATTCTGGGGGCAAACTCAGACACTCATACAAATAAATGGAATATATTTGCACTTGCGCTCCAGGTCTGTACAGTTCATATGCTCCATTCCAGTCATTTTTTCCTCATTATTTGTCCTTCTTTCTGTATCCATCCTGCTCTTGTACCCATGACCATTTTGAAGCCAGGTGTAGGCCCTAGCTGTAGCAAGGTGTTTGGTGTAGTTGTGCAGAAACCCCACACTAGTCCCACACCATGTGTCTTAGGAGACACGGCACATCACATTCATTTACACATTTCTTCTCCATCCTTAACACTGCGACAGACTGCTGCGGAGAGTCATCCAACACTTTTAACAGCAAGGATAACTACGCTGACTGCTTGCTGTCGTACTCTGGCCTCGTTGGTGAGTCTGCCCTGTAACATATTTATTGAATTATTAATATGGTAAATTTAATGTTAGAGATAGTTGCACTTTTAAAAATCAATTTATCACATATGCCTATATACACAAAATTATATATTTAAATTGTATTTTATATTATTAATATATAAATATAATAATTTTGTTAATTCAGAGACATGGGGAATATTTATTATATATGCACTTTTATTGAGATGCACCTGTGTATATATATATATATATATCAACATCAACCAGTTATATACTGATGATTTGGGTTGATCTGTTAAATCTGGATTTACTGATACGGTTTAGTGTCTCATTAACGTGACTATTACTACTCTCTATACAGTCCACTGAGATAGACATAGATTAAGCCTTTGGGAAAACATGCTTGTTCTCTAGTTCTTTCTTTGTGCTGGATGTTTCCCCAAAGTCGTTTGTGCACCACACAGAAGCAGCAGCTGGACACACGGGAATACAGCAGTGCAGCTATTAATCTGTGATTAGCTCCTGTTGTTGTTCTACCAGTGGGAGACTGTTTCTCTGTGGGCTAACACTGTCACATCTCCACAGTACAGCTTTTATGAAGCACATTGCACCAAAATTATTATTTTTAAGAAAGCTCAGTGAGAACAAGATAACGACTAATCTGAAGATGACAAGGGTTTAGGTTTCAATGGTTTTGATGTGTGGCTTTTAAAAACGGAAACACATATTTAGTCAAATTCCTTTTAAATATGAAATTGATACATTAATTTTTAAAATACAATACTCCTGAAGAGTGTACAGTCATGGCCAAAAGTTTTGGCAGTGACAATTTTTTTGTTTTGCAAAGTTTGCTGCTTCAGTATTTGTAGATTATTTTTCCACGTTTCTATGGTATACTTAAACAATGACAAGCATATCATAAGTTTTAAAGACTTTTATTGCCAAAAAAAATATAATGAGTCAATATAAACACAAAATTTATGTCACTGCCAAAACTTTTGGCCACAACTGTAGGAACATGTCTTTTTTGTTTTTTTCCAGGCACGGTGATGACCTCAAATTATCTGCGTTCACCCAAGATCAGCGTGTCGCCATTCTGTGACTGCAGCAGCAGTGGCAACAGCAAAGAGGAATGCGACAGATTCACAGAGTTCTTCACTGACAACGCCTGCCTGCGTGAGTTACTGTTCTGGCCCGACTCGCCCACTCGAGGCAGACTTGCTGATTTACATGTGTAGTTTTTGTTAGAGCTGGGCCATATAGCTCAAAATCTTTATATTTAGGGCTGGGTATCGTTCAAAAATGTTCTATATCGATACCGATACCTTGACTTCGATACTGGTTCCTGAACTATACCTTTTTCGATGCCAGTTATATGAAATCAGTTTTAACAAGATTATATTACCTCAAAAAACTTTTACGTTTTATTTTTTCAGCTTGTTTTTAATCAATTCATTATTAAATAGTTTTCATTTTCCACATCTTTTAGGCTACGTTTACACTAGTGCGTTTTTGTTTTAAAACGTATAGCTTAGACAGAATCATAATTTCTATTCAATTTCCACTGATTTACTGATGAGCATTAGCTGCTTCCAGCGCTGTATGCCGTGATCGCTGTTCTGACTCAGAGGAAGCTCATTCGCTGCTCATATGTCAATCATATTACGTGTTTATAACCCGCCCTGTCTCGTCCATTACACTTCAATTCTGTACAGAAGAAACCCAGGAAAACATTTCCACTGATGAAACATGAAGCTAATAAACAAGCGATTATGACAGTATTTGATTTGTATGTGATTTTCATGAGATTCTGCCTGTTTTCATAACAATACAGGGTGTTTACATGAGAAATGCTAAGCAGGTGTAGCAATTAGCTTGATATCAACATTATCAAAAAACAGCATTTTAAAATGAAAACACACTAGTGTAAACGTAGCCTTACATCTATGGGGGTCGGACGCTTACACACTACAGCCTCACATGTGAGCCTCGTCTCTGGGCGGAACCCTAAAAAGTCAGTGCCTAAAAAGTATCGAACTCTTAAAATGAAAACACACTAGTGTAAACGTAGCCTTACATCTATGGGGGTCGGACGGATACCCGGCGGATACCCAGCCCTATGTATATTATATTTATATTTATGAATTTATTCATACTAATATATAGTTATAAACAATAACATTTGCCTACAAATATTTTTACTAAAACATTTTAAAGCATGTAAAATGCCAAAATAGGAGAGCTTTGTGAACATTTTTGAGTGATGATGCCAAATTTTGAAGTTTGGAATCAATGTATTAAAATGTTCCATTTTAAAGTGTTTCACAAAAATTAATCAAACTTCCCAACTCTAATGGCATTTTCCAACTGAAGTTTAAATGAGAAACTATGTTTTCTAACTTTGCTGACTAGGGATGTAACGATTACCGGTTTGACGATAAATCATGATAAAATTCCCGAATTTTCTTTATTTAAAGGCTGAAATGTGAGGTTTACCTTTTTATGAAACTTTTTTCAAAGCTTTATTTGAACATTTACATTAGATATTTCAACATGCTATTAAACTGTTGTCAGTCAAGTTGTCATTTAAAATCCGAACACTTTGGTAATGTTATTGTTTTAGTGAATATGCAAACAAAAAAGCAAACAACATTTTATTTGTTGTTTGTTGATTTTTAAATATAAAACTTGGTGAAGTGATTTATGTGTTGTACTTTTTGAACATCTCCAGCAAATTTTAACAATACCATGATAATACTGATAACCGTGATAATTTTGGTCACTATAATCGTGATAAGAA